AAACCCTAAACAGCCTAAGCCCTAAAACACTAAGGCCCTAAACTCTAAAACCCCAACACTCCAGGCCCTAACACCCTAAACCCTCAAACCTCCTAAACCGACAGAGCTGACACTCAGTTTGGGGCTTGGAGGTAGCAAGGCTTCGGGCTTTTGGGTATATTATACTTCAGTTATAATCAGGAACCCCCAAAAGAGTATTAGGGCCCTAAACCCTAAACCCTTCTTTAGGCCCCTATAGTGGCAAGGCTTCGGGCTCCTGTGTCTCGGACTGGCTTGCTTTGCGATTCGCCTTTGGGGCCGAACAGGCTCTCCCTTGAGGGCTTAGGTTTGTTTAGGATTTTAGGGTTTTAGAGTGTTAGGGTTTAGGATTTCAGGGTTTTAGGGTTTAGGATTTGGGGTTTAGGGTTCAGAGTTTGGGGTTTTAGGGATTTAGGGTTTTAGGGTTTAGGGTGGTAGGGTTTAGGGCTTTAGGAATTTTAGGGTTTGGGGTTTGGGGTTTTAGGGTTCAGGGTAGCCGCATCAGTCCGTGGGGGTCCATGTACCCAACTAGTATATACTTTGGCCTGAAGGTACGAATAGAGGGGCGACTTTAAGACCAAGGTAACATACTATGTAAGTGTGCATGGACCCTAAACCCTAAACCCTAAACCCTAAACCCTGATCTACTACTTCTGCACTCGCGGAAGACCTAAACCCAAAGCCCGAAGCAGGTGTCCGACCCCAGTACCGAATACCGAGGGTTTAGGGTTTAGGGTTTAGGGTTTAAAGGGTAGCATCCCCAGAACAATTTGGGTTTAGGGTTTAGGGTTTAGGTATCCCTTACATTTCTCCAAGAGAAGAAGATCCCAATGTATGCTTATAAGGATCAACAGAAATTAGGGTTTAGGGTTTAGGGTTTAGGGTCTCAATAAGCCACCAACGGAAAAGCTCCACGAAAAGCCCTACAAAGCCTCTACAGCCTCTCCACAGTTCTACCATGTTTCTACAAGTGGGCCCTAACCTTAACCCCTGAACCACCAAATCCGAAACTTCTAACCCTAGTTCCCTAACCCTTTTCCCCAACAGCTTGCTGAGGGTTTAGGGTTTAGGGTTTAGAGTTTAGGGCTAGCCCCGACTCCCTGGACCGGAAATTCTTAACTACCCCTACGCCTCGAATCCGAAATCCTAAACCCGAAATCCCCCTTACCTCTCAACCCCGAGGCAGCAACTCCTAACCCTAAACCCGCCTGAGCGCTAAACCCTCAATCCTGAACAGTGAACCCGAAATCCCAAACCCTGGCCCTAATCCCTTCTAAACCCTAAACCCCGGAACCCTAAACCCTCGACCCTACACCCGAACCGTAGTGCCTGCTGCCAGGGTTTCGGGACCAAGCGCTGCAAGGAAGCGTCGCTCGGTCGTCTTTGAGTCCCGGTCGCAGAGGCTGATCTAAGTTTCGGGTTGAGGGTGGTCTGAGTCTAGGTGTCGGACTGATGGTGATGATCCCTTTCGGTAGCACCGACTGATTCTGGACTCTTGAACATACTAACCATCAAGTGTCTGTAGTAAAGCTGTCAGTGGAATCGAAACCCTGTACAGTCTGGTCCCCGACCTGGTAGCATCAGTAACAGACAAAGGGCCGGAACACCACATCGCTCAGCGGCGACAGCAGCTGCTAACTGCTCCTTCCCATGCGCAGCTTTTGTTGTCGGGATCCCTCGATGATGCAAGGAGATAGGGATGCTATCTAAACCATCCTGGAGTTTAAGATTCTGCGCAACTCCCGCGTCTGAAGCTGTGCTGACTGCATGCGAAAAGTACCACGTCAACCCAACGACTTTGTCAATTTCTGTTGAAACTTGGTTTCTGTAAACTCACTCCGAACGAGCTGCCGGCTACGCGTCTCTCCTCCCAGAATGTTATTCATTTTCTTGCTAAGCCCTAAACCCTACACCCCAAACCCTAAACCCTAAACCCCTAAACCCTAAACCGTGGCACCCCTCGCATGCCCCTAGTAAGACGCAAAGACAAGCAAGGCCCGGGCCAGGGCCCTAGACAGGTTTAGGGCTTAGGTTTAGGGTTGAGGTTTAGGGTTTAGGGTTCAGGGTTTAGGGGTAAGGCATCTCACATTGAACATGACGCCCAGACCTTGCCCATAAAGTTCCAAAAATCAGGGTCTTTGATAATCAGAATGCAGTTTTGACGCATGTTGCACCATAACCTTAATAAGGAACCCGAAGCAACCATGTTCACAATTGCTTAGGCCCTTATAGTGCCTTGCTCCTCTTGATTGCTTGGAGCTAGGACCCCAACCCCTGTCTTACCAGTAGTCTTAAACCTCCACATCTCTAAACAGGCCAAGCCTGCATGGCTTCCGCTCCCTATACAGTGAATCCCGGAAAGTTGGAACGTGGATTTAGGATACTTAGTGCTGGGATGCCTTATACTTTACCTTAAGAGCATGAGGATAGTGATGTTCCAACTTTCTGGCTTCTACTGTAGAGACAAGCCGTGGCTAGAACTTCAAGGGACTTGATACATGACGATCGAGATTGCAGGCTTAGTAAGGAGATCTATAGAGTACCTCTGCGGCATCACAGCGAGAACTGCAACGCACCTGACCCCGCCTCAAGCCCGGAAACTCAATGGCTCGCTTCGCAAAAGCTTCCTTGAACTTGGCGCCCACCCTAAACCCTAAACCCTTTTGGCCTCCGGCTCGGAGGAGTTCAGATCCCCTGGCCAGGCATGACATGCCACCTATAGTCTCCATTGTAGTTCCTTTTTCTGGTTTAGCCAGTTCTATATTTAGGATCCTATAAGGTAACCCCAAAAAGAAACTACAATGGAGACTCTAAGCACCTACTTGTAGGAGTCGTCTTCGTCCGTCATGGTCGCCTGGAAGTGCTCCCACACCTTCACGCTCTTCATGCTGTTCCATTCCGTCGACTTTGTTTCAGGCATCGCGCTTCACCAGTGGCCACTGCAGTGCCGTCCCTCCGCCGATGATGACCCGACTTATTATAGGACTTCTATTACAGGGAGATGGAGTAACCTTAACCTCGAGTTATCGGGCGTTGAGTAACGGGAGAACTGTCATGACTAACTATAAGACTTCCTACACGGGTTCTCATGGATAGTAAGTAGACTTACCCGAATCTAAACCCTATAATACCCAAGCCCTAAACCCCCCAAAAAAAAACGGGCCCTAAACCTTCCATCTGAGGCTTAGAGTTACGCCTAAACCCTAGACGCCTGAACCCTAACTAAACCCAAACGCTATAAACCCCACCATCCTTGAAGCCTCGAGGCTATGATCCTAAATTCTCGACCCCGCAACTGTGAGCCCCAAAACCCCAAACCCTAAACCCTAAACCCCAAAGCCTAAACCCTAAACCCCAAACCCTAAACCCTAAACCCTAAACCCGAAAGCCTAAACCCTAGACCCTAAACACCAAAGCCTAAACCCTAGGCTTAGACCCAAGACCCCAAGACCTCCCAGCGTCCCAGTTCATTTAATGCAGGGGCCTCAATAAATGGAATAGGGTTTGGGGTATATGATATTTTCATGATAAGAAGGACCCCCCCCCAAAAAAAAAAAAGTATGGGTAGTTATCTTGTATGAAGGTCCCTTTGTCAGGAGCTTTAGTAATTCATCAGGGTTTCGGGGGTCCTTGATAGTATAGTAGTAGTGGTAATGAAACTCATAATCATGACAAACATAATAACAACAATACTCATGAATAGCCATCACAAAAGAGTGAAGACCATGAGGGATCGTGTTCCAATAGGACTACAGACTATAGGGCATAATGTTCCGAACCATTTAAGCCCTTGTGTTGTAGCTGCCGGACTCCTTACCGGAAGGAAGGCGCTCGAGAAGTTGATGCCTGGAGGGAGGCACGGTTTCGGGTTTAGGGCATTTGAGTTTCATCAATGGTGTTAGAAGGTTTGGAACCTCTGGATCATTAGACTGTTTCATATAGTTGTGCTGCCTAAACTATACTAATTGCATCGAGCACGCCTCGGATGAGGTCGCTACTTCGGTTCCATTGCCACCTCGCCTGGCCTGGCTAATTTGGCTCCTTCCCTAAAGCCTGAAATGAGGATGCGGAGCAGTTGCTAATGCCTCCAACTCCTTCTAGAGATTTTACTGCTCCGGATCGTACCTGCGTGGAACGATCTAACGTCTTCGATTTTTTGTGTAAACTGATCTCAAGTCTATAGTGCTCTACTGGAAGATAACCAAGGAACCTTGGTTTTGCTGCCTCTGCTCGTGCCTGTGAAAGGATTTTGGTTTCTACTAGTAGTGTGCAAGGGTTGAAGGAAGGGTCTTTGTCAAGATGCATACTTGTCTTGCGTTGCTCGGACATGTGCTTACCACCTTGCTTGAATCTGCTTGACCCAGGCTCACCCGTTCTGAACAAACGTGGTCTTGCTTTTCCAGTGGAGTGTTGGTATGTCCTGCTTACTGCACAAACAGCTACTGCAGAGAGAGAGAGAGAGAGTCTTTCCTAACCCCAGAATTGGGTAATATAGGAGCCTTCATAATTAGAATAGGGTTTTGGGGTCCTTTATACTATAACTATAATGAAGAACCCCAAAATAGGGCCCTTTATACTATAATAGTAAAGAAACCCCAAAATAGTGTTGGTAATTATTTAGGCATGTATATTGAGCAAGCTCTAAAACCAAATCCCCACCCGACCTCAACTCTCTGTCCAACCCCGTTGCTGATCCCTAAACCCTTTTTCGGCAAACCTAATAATGTAGCCTTAATAACTAGAACAGTGTTTTTTGGGGGTATGTTATACTATAGTCATAATAAGGAATCCCCCCAAATAGTATTGGCAACTATTTAGGCCTCTATACTACACCCTACGACAGAAGCCTAAATAGCTGTCCTTAGGGTTCAGTCCTGTCGTCGGAGGCGAGGGCCAAGAATGCTCCCACACCGAAGGGAAATAAGCGCCGAAACCGCCTCCAGGGTTCTGGGGTTTAGGGTTCTGGGGTTTAGGGTTCTGGGGTTTAGGGTTTAGGGTTCTGGGCTTTAGGGTTCTGGGGTTTAGGGTTTTGGGGTTTAGGGTTTAGGGTTGTGGGGTTTAGGGTATTTAGGGTTGTGGGGTTTAGGGTTTTGGGGTTTTGGGGTTTTGGGGTTTTGGGGTTTTGGGGTTTAGGGTTTTAGGGCTTAGGGTTTGGTGAGTCATGGGCTAACGGCGGTTCTGGCATGCTATAGGGACCCAACAAGGGGGGTAGATTCTACTTTTGATATAAGGATGTTCCCAGGGGATACGAAAACTACAGATTCTGACCCGAATTGCCTGTAGAGCTTCGTCGGTCTTCCAAGCGTTACGATAAGTGCTTCTGGAAGGCCTGCTCTAAGGGTTCCCAATTAAACATAAATATTAGGGTTACTGTAAAGGATACCACTAGGGGGATGGCCTCAAGAACTTCTAGCATAGCCAATACTGATGATTCAGACCGATGTCTCACCTTTAAGAAGTCCTATAAGTGGGGTGCGGTTGAGAGCTTCAACAGATGTGCTTGGAGCATCACAACGCTTTCTGGCAGTTGTGGGGTTCCGTGGCTATAACGGTTGGACGGGCGAGCGTGCACAATGTTGAACACAGTGAATTCCTGCTCTGGGCTGTGTTGGATAGCTTCAAAACTACAGCCGTCTGTGCTTCAAAGCAGCCGGAGGGCCGGAGGGTGTCTGCTAGTTGCAAACTTGATGCCATGATGGTGATGATGATACAGGGATAAGCCACTACACCCTAAACCCCAAAACTATAAACCCAACAGCAGAAACTTGAAGAAATACCATTGCGTGGCGTATCGGCCCCATACCTGCAGGCAACCGAAGGATTTCCCTCTGAGCCTTAGCCTTGGGGCTGAGCTTAAACCCATAACAACACACATGCTTTTCCAAATAACCCTTGGGTTTATAATTATTCCAGCAAGATCCAAAAGCTGTTAAACAACATCCAGGTTCTGTGCCTGGCACAGAGTTCCAGGCCAACGTTGCACGGCTTCAGCGACATGATCGCTTGATCGACCTGTTCTAAACTTGAACTTCTCTCTGATGCAAAGTTTGAAGTATCTCTGGAATGACCAAGGAAACAACGATGTTTGCCCTCAACGAAAGTACTTGCTTATTCTGCTTTATTAGTACCCATGAACCCATGAACCTTCAGGTGAGGTCCTATTCCAAGCGAGCCTGGTGCGCAACATCCTCAGAGTCGTGAAGGGCCCCGACCAGGACCAGCGTTTCCAGTCCTTCCTATCCGAGACTGTTAGGCGTTCAAAGTTCAAAGTTTGGTTTAAGTTTCGGGGTCCTAAGCCCCCACATCACTGCGATGACAATTTGGGGTTTTCGATTTCCTTGTTTTAGAAGTAACGCTTTTCACTTGCACTATGCTCCACTCAACTCCAATACACTTCAGCACCCCACATTGCATTACCTGGCGCTACATTACATTACATTACATTTACGTTGCTTCTCCCATGTATCCTTATGTATGTAAGTGAGTGTGTATGTATGTATTACTGTGTGTGTGTGTGTATGTATATATATATATATAGACATGCATAGCTGTACATTATATACCTATCTGGATATGTTGAGTACATGTATCTACATATGTGTATGTAAAAACAGGCACGGCACCCCCCCCCCCCTAAACCCTAAACCCCACTCCCCCGGTCCGGCCCCTTGGGCAGCATGTGAAGATGAAGGGCGGGTAGGGCCCGACTTGCTTCGGCCATCCAGTCGTCAAGATCTTGTCCTGGCTTTGGGCTATGCCTTTGACTTTGAACTCAGGCGTGTCTCTATGTACAATTGACATATAATACACAATTACATATATAGATATATGTGTAGAAATATATACATATATATATATA